TGCTAGGGAGATGGACATGTATTCCGCACTCAAAATGGGGGGATTCCTGTCAAATTCCTCGTTGTTGCTTAGAGGCTGTTTCTCGAAGAATAAGAGGATTTCAAGCATGGAATATGTAGCGCTTCAGATTTTCTATGTCGCACCTAGGACTTCGTGCCTTAATAACACCTGCGAACAAAAAGCAAAAGCGGATAAACACATTTTCTTAGGATCTTAAACAAAGAATTGCTATTGATCGCCTAATGTAAGGCTTCACGGGTCAAAATCACATAGTTAACTGCGGCATCTACCACAGGAATTTCCGTAGTGGGAGCTGCTTGTTCCACAGTCTTAGGTCTTGAGCCTAAAGCGCTATTTGCTCTTTTCCGGTCAGTCCTTGGAAGGGGCTCGGCTATGAATTTGTCCTGTTGCGCCGGTGCCAGCATTTTTGAGTCAGACCTCTGTAACGTTCGCGTCCATGGGGTTAGACTGCTCCTCGGGAGGAATTTCAGATTCCTAAAATTCCCTCAAACTTACATCTGCTCTCGGAAACCGAAGACAAATTCCCACAAGGACCCAGCCCAAATTTTTAATGGTGTGGTCTTAAGGGTGGACGATGCCTTCAAGATGGTGCTTCAGTCTGCCGATTCATTGCGCATCATTACGTAATTCCCAACGTGTAAGCTTAACCTGGTCGGTGGTACTGGGGTCGTACTTGGCTTCAGGGATTATATGTTTGTGGACAGTTGACATTTTACATTCCAAGCACCCCATACCTCACCCTACTTCAATGGCGGAGAAAGATTTACTCTTTTCGACTGTTGAATGTATTGAGCTCTGTTCTGTACCCCCCTCTTAACACGTTTTTTTTCAGGTGTTTGTAGTAGGAGTTATAGAATAGCAGTGGGAGCTATAGAAGAAAGACCGCGAAAGCGTAGGAGTGGTCGTGGCAAAATTTTTGAAAATTACGAGGAATTATCCTCTAGGTTAGGCAGTATCGCCGCCAACCAGTCAAACCCGCAGAAGAGGATCGCTTGACGGAACTTTTCCTCTTTACGGGAGATCTTTCCAAATTTTCCAAAATTCCGCCACATTTACAGGGGGGGGGCAAAAAAAGTCACTTCGACCGAGTCACATATCAGCAAAGTTTTCGCTGCCCAGACAGAGGACGTGGATACGAGTACCAGGGCGGAAGATACCCAAGATGTTCCTCGATAAGCAGGAGCTGGCTCTTGTACACCAAAATATGAAGTCATCTCCAGTCGCAGCCTGACTGGAGAAGACCTTTGGAATTCATGTCACCTCCAAACAGCTGCGAAACTTCTAGTATGGAGTCACCCATGGATAGCTACCTGGAGACCAGTACTCTCGATCTGGATGACCTCCAACATCGAGCAGCTCGCCACGGTCTAGGACATCATCTTCACCGCAGTCGCCAAGGCGCGGGTTGATGGTATGGACCGGACGTACCTGGAATGGAAAGACCAATATTTTCTTCGTGGACCCCGGACTGAAGGTGAGCGCTGGCGGTTACATTGGCAACTCGTGAAGAATATCCTCCTCACATGTGGTCGCCCGTACCTTCTTGGAAACTTTGTACTGCTACAGCATTGAGTGCCACCACATGAAATCGAAGGTTGGAGAAACTCTCGCCTACTTGGAATGGAAGGGGGCTGAGTACCTAAAGAAGATGGAATATCCAAGTAGGTCACCTGACCTGAATCCCCTCAATTACCCGGTTCGGGCGGAGTTCAATAGGGTGGTCTACGGTGGCGGAGAAATCGACTATCTCGCTGATCTCAGGCACCACATCGCGGTCGCGTGCCAGAATCTCTCGATGGCGCTCGTCCAGAAGGCTGTGGCGGAGTGTCATGATAGTATTTAATATGCTCTTTAATATGGTGGTAAAAATGTCCGATCAGAATTTAATAATGTAACTTATAGCGCCTCGAAAGTCAATGAAGAAAAGTGACTTTTTTTTGCCCCTAGACAGTGCGACAAATACAGTCCCCTTTATGGGTGTAAGTTCATATCTGTTGACCTCCTCCTTCCCATAAATATAGACGATCCATTGCTTCAAGTACTTTTGTCCTCTTTAATTACACTGCAGAATATAACCGCAAAGTAAATATAGGTCCATTTGAGTTCTGGTAAACATATGGGGCAAAAACATTCCAATGTACTGGAAGAAATTGAGATTTGATCGGTTCTATCCTTCGGAACCTATCTGATTGGGACATTATCCTTCAAGGTGCAGTGAATGCGGCGAAGGCGGCTTTACGAATGGCGTCACGTACGCGTCATTCGCACCAAGGCCTAACTGATTCAACGTGGATCCATCGTTGTAGTCAACTAGCAAGGGGGTGCTAGTTTAACATGTAATTGATGAACCACATTCCTTTCTTTGAAGAAAATTCGATTTAGAGTCGAGAACTTAGCCCTCTTTTGGAGTGGTTCGATCCTGGTCTCGGCACATCGACTGTTGCAGCGCTGTGAAACATAGCAGAATGCGCTTCCCCCCAAGCTCCCTTTGATCTCTTCACACCCTACACCCCCTTCGTACCAAACTTTCACCACGATTCTGCCGTTCTAGGGAGGGCTGAGCAAGAGTGGGGAGGGTACATGGTGCACCAGAACAAACCAACTATTGGAAAAGATGCTCTCGAGGATGAAATATGACGCCGCTTCCCGACGGCCAGTTACGACCGATTCAATTTCACTGTCAGCAGGGCGTCAATCGCTTCATGATTAGAAAGCTTTATCGGACCATTTTTTGGCCATTTTCTGGTTCGTTCGCCATCGCGAGAGTTTGAAGAGGTCAAAAACAAATGTAAATTGACTGCCCAACTAAGCTTCCTGACAATTCGAATTCCATCCAAAAAACGGGCTCCTCGGTGAACGTCGCGTGATTTGGACCGAAAGCTCATAAACTTCGCGGCCATGTGCTCA